TAAGCGGAAATGGGCGGGAATAGGCGAACTGTGCGATGGACCTTCGAAGTGGCGGACGAGATGAGGATCGTCGGCAGCGCTGTGATGGAGATAGTGATCTGGATAGCAACGACGCCTCTGCGGAACGTGTCGTGGACGTTCCTCGACGGAACGATCGAGAACGTACGTGCCATCGACTTTTTCTGGTACACTTGCTGCGATCGCTACTTGGTGGCGGCTCGAAACGCCCATGCCGCAGCTGTGCCACCTCCGGAGTACGCGTGCGCGCTAGTAAAGCTACTGTTCTTGGTTCCTATCGCGGTGCTACAGGACTACGAATCCCGCTTTGGGATTACCGGTCGAATGTGCCTTAAGTGGTGTGAGGCGTTCCACCATTCGTGCTGCCTGTACGTTCCAGAGGCGAGTCTTTTGCTATGGGGAACGTCCTGCCGGTACGCTCGTGCCACCAGCGAAGCTGTGGTAGCCGTTGTGGATCGAGTTGGAGATTTTATCGTGGGAAGCTACTTGCTGACATCATTACTACTGTCTATCCTAATCTACCTGCCCCGCCTGGTGTACGAGAGCATCGAGGGAATACTGTGTGGCTGGATAGGAGTGACGCTGGTTGTGTTGATCGTGGACGTCTACCTGGAGTTTGAAATTGGCTGTTGCTACTGGAACTTGGCTGTGTTAGTTGTCGGTTGCTACAGTTACGTGGTGCGGTATTACGAAGGGCTCCGGCCGAGCGCTATGGACCAGAATGATAAGGCGGCGAGACGCAAGTGGGAAGGACTGGCTGGTCGTATAGAGCGTCGTGAGGAAAGAGAGCGAGCTAGCGTGGAACGACTGCGAGGCATGCAGGCCGAAGGAACGTCGTCTGGAGTAAGGAACGAGAGTCCTAATGCAAGTGGAACGTCACGTGGGAACGTTCCAGATCTGACTGTGGGAGACACCGTGCGACAGGCTCCGGGCGATGTGGCTCGGCGAGGTCACCGAGCGTCAGTCGGGGAGAATTGGCACGGTGTACAGTTAGACGGTGGATTAACGATGCTGGCTGACTGCCTGCAGAAGGTCTACTCACTCCAGACTCTCCGGACCACGTCCAAGCAAGCGGGACCTGCGGCCAAGACAGTGACGTTCCAAGTGTGAAGTCGTGGAGCAGCTGGTCGTGGCGGGAATTGGAGCTGGACCGCCACGCACGAGGGATCGGACAAAAGGTAAGAAGCTCTAAAAACTCTTAGCGAGGTGAAACGAGGAAGTCAGTCGTGGATTTCCTTCTAACAAGAAACACAAGAATATATCAACTTTTACATTACTATCACAGTAGTGTCGCTAGTACTACTACCTCCTACGTCGGCCCAAGATACTCACGACCCCGATTAGAGGAAGACCGCGACAATGGTGACGCGATTAAGGCTTTGACACGTGAGCACCTTTCCCTTCCACCGACACGCGTCATATGGCGTGGCTGCGCTGCATGTTTCCGAGGAACACCTAAGTAGCTGGTATGTGGCTTGATCAGTGCACACATCACACACGGAACCAGCTGACTTTCCACAATAATGAACACATTCATGTCTCCCATAAACAGCTGAGAAATCTCGCGAGGTATGTTGCTGCAGACAGTCGTCCACTTGCTCGTCGTGGGCATCTTTCGTTGAGGGAGGGGAAGGAGGGCTTCAGAGCTCAGCTTTTACTGAATAAAGAAGGATCTTTGCTGTAAGAAAGAATACATAGGGCGGTGATTGGTTCATAGCACTGGTCGTGATTCGCTACTATCCACTGGTGTGTAGACACCCGAGGTTGGTGTGTTTTGGCCAATGCAATTGTGGCAAACGTATAGATAGTGTGGTGTGATGTGACATATATGTGTCCCACGAATATTGTATGTGCTATCCAGAGGTCGCAAACGTAATTTCCCGGTTAACCGTACCGGTCCGAAAGCCCTTGTCATCGATTTTCGGATGACCATCGTCAACCGAACGGACCGTTCGAACGACCACGGCTGGCCGAAATTAGCAATCGGCTAACTGAAAATTACGTGTAATTTATGTTTGGAATGAAAAAAGGAAAATGCCATTTTCTTACTTCCTCCGGGACGAAATAAGTGCAACATTGTACTGAAAGGGACGTCGGCTATTGCTCCACATGCGGACGTTTTTTCTTCGATACAGCCCCTTCTTCGCATACATCCGGATTTCCCTGGTTTCTTTTTTTTTTGAAAAACCGGAACCAAAACGCGCGGTTTGTGTTCTTTTTTGCGACCCCAAAGAGGTGGGCGATTTTGAGCGATTCAGACAACCCGCTTCCGGTTTACCCCCCCCACCCCCCCCATTCTCAGGCTTCCCCCCGCCACGCTGTACACGAGGATGAAGAGGACGATATCCTGGCGTTCTCGGTTAGTTAGGTTTGGCCTCGAAGTGGCCCCAGTTGAGTCGGCTGCGTTGGTCATGCGGCTTGGAAATGGGGAGTGTTTGGTGTTAAAGATGCTGAAAATTGTGAAATGGCAAGCTGCTTGCGGTACATTTCCGTCGATAACTCTTGCGTCTGAGCAGCGTTTTTCGCGCGCAAACCAGCGTTGGAAAGAGGAGATCCCACCGCGACGATTCCGCCAATCAGCGCCTCTAAAGCGAGTCTGTAGGAAAACCCACGTTCTTGACTAGGGAGACAGTTGCAATTATTACCAACGAGAGGAAGTATTTAATATCTCCACTTAAAATAAGCTGACACGCAACTTTGTTTCGGTTAAAGACGCGAGCCGTTTCTTAATTAAGAAAAACATGCAAAAAAATCTTCGAGTACCCATCCTCTGGCGAGCTCGGCCAACCATAACCAACCGGTCCTGGAAGTCGGTTACCCGTACCCATCCGTTTTTCAGAGAGGCAAACTTTCGGTTAGCCATACCCGTCCGTGGTTACGGCTTGACATTACTCAAACGGGTACGGTTAACCATTTGCGACCTCTGGTGCTATCCCATTTACTGTGTGTCACCTTGGTTCTGTGTGATTTACCTGTACATGTACCTGTGTTTATTTCCTTTTACGTCAACACGCCGGACCAATGATGAAACAGTGTTTCAGCCAATGATTTCAAAGATAGATGAACGTTCCCAAACGTGAGGCGTGAATTGTGTGGTTGGCGAGTATCTTCCCACATCGCAATTCGAGCCGCGCCCCGCATTTGCTTTTGACTCGCATGGCTTCTGAACTTTGGGCTAGCTACAAGCAATGGGCTGATGCTCAGGAAACGGTCTTCCTGGACTGGGCCGACCCGTCCGGCCAGTACAAGCTGTCACCCATGAAGGACCTGCCTGGCGCCGATTTTGCCTCGGCATTCGCAATCTGCGTCGCCTACGTGTCCTTCGTCGTCATCGGAACGGTGAGTTCGCCTACCTTAAGTGCAACTGTGTTGTACGCCATAGCCAACTGACTGACGTTAAATCGTTCGCTTCTCCAGCTCGTCATGAAGGCTGGTGTCCCGGCCATCAAGACCAGTCCACTGCAGTTTGTCTACAACCCACTGCAAGTTGTGCTTTGCTCGTACATGTGCATGGAAGCTGGAATTCTCGCCTACCGCAGCGTACGCTCATTTCTTCTGTCAGCTGTTTTACCCGTGATCAGTCCGTTTTGGCGTGAGCTTGCAACTCATTTTGTATGCAAATCCTTGTGTTGTTGCTCTTTAATTCCAGGGTTATTCGGCCACGCCGTGCAACGCGTTCAGCGCAGAGAAGCCTGTCATGGGCAACGTGATGTACATGTTTTATCTGTCCAAGATCCTGGACTTCTTTGACACGATCTTCATTATCCTTGGCAAGAAGTGGAAGCAGCTCTCCTTCCTCCATGTGTACCACCACTTGACCATTTTCGCGGTGAGTCCTCCGCCTACTTCCTGAATTTGCAGGCTCTACAAAAATCTCTAACGTACAATGCTTGTTCGTTGCTTTGAAACCGACAGATTTACTTCATGAACTTCCGCGTGGCCTACGACGGAGACATCTACGCCACGATCATTCTGAACGGTTTCATCCACACCATTATGTACATGTACTACTTCGTGAGCGCGCACACTCGTGACATCTGGTGGAAGAAGTACCTCACGGCCATGCAGCTGATTCAGTTCGTCACGATGAACGTGCAGGGCTACTTCATAATGTCGCGCTCGTGCGACAACTTCCCCCACAAGATTCCGGTCATCTACCTCGTCTATATCCAGTCGCTTTTCTGGCTGTTCATGAACTTCTTCATCAAGTCGTACTGCTCGAAGCCACGTAAGACGTCCAACAAGAAGAAGACGCAGTAGAGAGCAACGGCCCCGAAATATCGTAGATGACGCTGCTAACACAGCTGCTCGAGGGGATGTGGGTCTGCTTTCAGATTTATAAGAACATTTTAAGACCAATGCAACGCCGAAGGGGGCGATGAACTGCTCCCTCGGCTGAATTTCGTGCTGAAAGTGATTCTTGATTGATCTGTCCTACTACGTATTCATAGTAGTAGTATTTTATTCCCTTGTAGTTTAATACTTTAGTCCGCATAAACTTCTGCATTCTACTGTAGTATTGGTACTACATGTACATGTACTAAAACCCTTTCAGACATGCAGCTGGTAGCGTGAAATCTTACTACTACTAAAATACCTACCTCTAACTGCTTTAGCGTAGAATCCGGTAGAGCGTCTTTCCATCCAAAATCTCGACATACCCCGGTGACCAAGGCTCAGTACTACTGAGCCTTACTACTGACTGAGTGACTGAGTGACTGATTCAGTAGTAAGGCTCAGTAGTACTGAGCCTTGGTCACCGGGATATGTCGAAATTTTGGATGGAAAGACGCTCTACTTAGAGGTAGGTATTTTAGTATTAGAGGTAGGTATTTTAGTAGTATTGCTATTGCAAGTAATCATAAAAATTGAGACAGTTTTAACGTTAATAGTAGTAGCTCTTCAACTATAGCTAGCACAAAAATTCTTTTTGGTCCTATACATGTAGCTAGCAACAGGCGCGGTACAGTATACCAAAATCGGCTTTAGCTGGCAGGACGCAGTCTTCGTTGTGGCTTTTAGAACCCCTTCTAGACAGCAACAAGCTATGCACCAGGGATACGGGCCACTCTAGCAGGAAACTATCTCGACTGTAATTTAAAAAAACTTATGCTTGTAGTCCGAAGTGTGTCAAGAAGATTTTCAAACATGATTTCGAGGACGCAACCTGCCGGGATTCCCTATTTCTGGTTTGCTGTTTTTGGTGTGAAAGTAGTGCCACTGCTCTGCCTTCAGCGTACTGTACTCCATACCATAATACGAAATTGTGGATCTTTGGCGTGTGCTAAGCGCGTCGAAGCGTGCACAGTGCGAGTTGACCTTTTCCTCATAGTATAAGTTAAACGCTACTGAAAGCGACAGGAGCCTGTAATACGTATACATGTATACGGGATCTAGACAAGTGCGTTTCCTACTAGGAAATCCCTAGTAGGAATGATCCTACCTACATAAGACACGACTTCAACAAGGTTTCGGATCTTGAAACGATAGACATCCACCAATCAGAGACTGCCACCCACCCCAGTGGGGCACTTTTCTTGTACTAATATGGCGAAGCACCACGATCGCCGCCTCGAAATCTGTATATGTAATACAAAGTCTGCTGAGAATCGCGGCGGCAAGTCACTGGTTTGGTCTCAATTAGAGACTTGCCTCCGCAGCAGTTCTTGATTTCGTGTTTTGTGCTTGTCTTTTGGAGTAAGCATGCCGCAATACTCGGCTACGGCTGCTTCGATTACCTCCTTTCGTGTGCAGAAATCGCCAGTTATCTGTATCCGTCAGCGCCGGCTGTTCCATTTCAATTTTGCATAGTGCGGCCCGAAACCTCGGCAGTCGATGCAGCGAGCACGACGGGTCCATCGCTATGTGCTCCTACGTGTCCCGAGCGAGACCACAACGACAACCATGCATGTACCCGTGGATTCATTCTTTCCAGTGCGACAGGACGTTCGTTTTTCCCCGCTCGTAAGGGTGTTTGCAGTGCAAGTTCCATTTTTGCATATCCTCGCATCAATCTCACGGCCGTCGTTGCTGCAAGCCATGATTTCTGTTGCAGCATAGCTTCATAGTGTGAATCACATGGACCTACAATATCTCTTTGGTGATTCATCACCGATCATCTTACAAAATGTAGCTTGCTGAGCAAATTGCTCGCGGCGACGTGTCAGACTTGATGTTGAGCTGGCTTGGCGCTGTATCCATGCGTACCTTTTCTGCCCCCGACCTTCGACACCAGATACCTTTCCGTATTAGATACCAAGAGGTGCTGCTTGTCAAAATTGACTTAGAAAAGACAAATCAAGGTGAGGTAAAATCAGGAGCACCTTCAAGAATCAATATACTGACACCCTCGACGTGCGCTTTGAATGGCCGCCAGCCGAGTGACCGGTATCATGCTGGACCTTTGCAGCCTGGCCCCCTCGAGTCACTTCCGCTTTGGTACCCCACCACCTCGTACGACTCTGCCAGCACACCCAGCCCCAACAGCGATGGCCAGCGCACTCCTCGAGAGCTACAAGCAGTGGGCCGATGGCATGGATGTCATGCTCATGGACTGGGTCGACCCGACCCTGCGCTACCGCCTCTCACCCATGCAGGACTACTTCCTCGCCGATTTCGGCACGGTATTTGCTTTCTGCGTCGGCTACCTCACCTTCGTGGTGGTGGGAACGGTACGATTATCTCTCTTTTTGCCCCACATAAGCACAGGCGCTGATTGCTAGCTCTTTGCCACCTTCAGCTCGTCATGAAATCGGGCATGCCCGCGCTCAACACGGCCCCTCTCCAGTTCATCTACAATCCCATTCAAGTTGTGCTATGCTCCTACATGACCGTCGAGACCATCCTGCAGGCTCGCCGCAACGTACGTACCCTTGCACAAAATCTTCGGTTTTGCGCTTAGCTCGTCATTAACATCCTCCGTTTTTCCAGGATTACTCGGCCACACCATGCAATGCCTTCAACCACGAAAACCCTGTCATGGGCAACCTCATGTACATCTTTTACCTTTCCAAGGTGCTCGACTTCTGCGACACCTTCTTTATTGTCATGGGTAAGAAGTGGAAGCAGCTCTCGGTGCTCCACGTGTATCACCACGTCACTGTTTTCTTCGTAAGTTTTTTTTTGCCTGCAATGTCGGGACCCTGCACACCATCGTAAGTACATGAAACTGACCTGCATGTATGCTTTTTTGCCTGTCCAGTGCTACTGGGCTAATTTCCGCACGTCCTACGATGGCGATCTCTACATGACCATCGTGCTCAACGGCGGTGTGCACGCGATCATGTACATGTACTACTTTGTGAGCTCGCACACGCGCCAGATCTGGTGGAAGCCGTACCTGACGACAGTTCAGATGATCCAGTTCCTTCTGATGAACGCGCAGGGCTACCTCATGGTCTCCCGCTCGTGCCCCGGTATGCCGTACAAGATCTCTGTCATGTACCTCATCTACGTGCAGTCTTTGTTCTGGCTGTTTATGAACTTCTTCATTGTGAACTACTGCCTGAGCTCGCGGAAGCCCAAGGCTGTCGAAGCTGAGAAGAAGACGCTGTAAATGAGTTGAGCCAATCCGTCAGTGGAAGGAGCAAGCAAGCAGCAGGGCGGGTTGAGCGTATACTTCTTGTTTCTTCGGTTGTTAAGGAACCATTACGCGAATGGGGCAGGTGCATCTTCGAACCCGCCCAGGCTGGCCCAAGTGTATCTTCTTATCGCCAATGTAGGTCTCACTTCCATCATAATGGCAACTCTAATACTATGACAGTTCCTGAACAATATTACTACTACTAGTATACGTGGCCTTGGCATCTTAGCAAGCCGCTTCCACGGTTTTGACCCTTGCCATTATTTGCTTTGATCTTGTCCGAGTTCGGTGACGTTGTGCAGCCATGTTACGAAAAGGGGCATCGAACACAGCGTAACACTGCACCTGGTGCAGCACCACGGTACATGTAGTACAGTAAAACCTGTCTTAAATGATACCTTGAAAGACTGATATCCTGATATATCGGATATGTAATCGACCCACCGACTTGGTAGTTATCTATTACTATGGGACAAATCTGATAGTGCTGAAACGCGTAATATGATATGCTTTTTCCCAAAACAAATCTTAAATTTGTATGCATTTTTGTTTACTTAAGAGCGTGTAGTAGCAAAAAGGCACATAATCGAAGTCTGAGTCAGTGCTTCCTTAGTCTCTAATAGGAGTTTCTCTCGTGCACGCGATTGAAGCAGTGGTAGGTCCCTCTCCAATTTGTTTTTTTTAAATATGGGTGGTCCGTTAACATTAGAAGTACCCCTCGGACTGCATCAACACCTTGTTTTGCAGTCGTAGCGTAGCTCTCTTCTTCTACAGCATCATTATATTTAGTGGGCATGCTTTCCGTAGCAGTTTTCAGGAAAGCAATATCAGTTGTGTTGCTCCAGAGTTCCGCTGCTGAAAACGACTGCATTTCCGTGTTCTCCCCCGCAGCGTTGCAAACGAAGTCTGCAATGTCCTTTGGGTTACGGACCGTAGCCGTGCCATACATTCGAGCAGCTCACTTTCCAAGATGCCGTTAATTTTTTTTTTGGGAACAGCAGGATGATGAGCGGCCGCGTATTACCCCTGGGTGCTTGAAACAATTCCGTACAAGCTCGCCGTCGATATGTCTCCAGCAAGCCTTTACCCATTTCATAGCTAGCAGCTGGTCGATTGCAAAGATATTGCCGTCATTACCGGCTTCTTCGAGATCCAATGCGTGCTGGGGCTGTCGGTTACGATAACGCCGCTTCGGTTATGCAATACTTCCTGCTTCTGGAGGTTGCTGTTTGGAAGTTGTATTTGGCGGCAAAAAGTGATTTTTCACATATTGCAATTCCAACCCAACAGTAATGTGCGAAGACGCATTATCCATGAGAAGGACAACGTGGCGTTTGAGGGTCTTCATCTCCATGTCAAATTCGTATCGCTACTCGCGGAAAAGAAGCGCTGTCATCCACGTTTTCTTGTTATTTCTGTACGTGAAGCCGAGCTCAGCGCCGGTCTTCTTCTTGAAGCATCTTGGCTTACTAGCGTGCCCAATAAAAAAATCCTCTCATGTCCGATACATCTGCGTTGCAGGCAAGCGCAACCATTATTCGTATCTTACCCTTCTTGATACCTTCAATTTGAGTGCTTGCAATCGTCCGATTTGAACACAAATTGTAAAATAGGCCCGTTTCGTCGAAATAGTAGATGTCCGCTAGCGCATAATCCTTCTCGGTAGCACAAATGCGCTCACGTTGAATTGGGAGTGACGCCATATCCACCGAACCACTTTCACCGAACGACGTAAAGCTTCTATGCCATGCCGGCTTTGGAAGGAATCAAGCCATCCATTCGAAAAATGATAGTTTGTCCGACTCATTAACAGACTGTTGCTTGAGCAGCCGGGCTTCCTTTGTCTTCACTATATTGTCATCTATCATAACGTGCCGTGCTTGACAGTGGAGGACCCAATTAGCAAGTACGTCATCCAGCTCTGGAAATGCAAGTGGTCGTGACCGACGTGCTTGCAAATCTTGTTTATGAACGGTTTAATATCGACGTGTTTGCGATAGTATTGCCGAAATAGTCTCTTGAGCAGGCTTCTTGATCATTGCAAATTCTCGTTGTGCCCTTTAGGCAAGCTGCTCCTGCGTTAGCGTCGGTTTTTCCAGTTTCCACGAGCGAATTGTTTTCGTTTGCCCCAAATTTAGTTTGCTTACGTGTTTCAGTTTTCGAGCCATGCTAAAAGTCAAAATGAGAGTCGTAGAGAAGGAAGGAGCCAGCCGAGGTGGGACATGGTGATAAAACGCTAATGTCCCCCTCAAATCTGATGAACTTGCTATATCTGATAGTGACCTCGTCCACGGGACTTATCAGGTAAGAAAGGTTTTACTGTACATGCAGGATGTTTTATTATAACTTCAGAGAATGGCTGTATCCTATCCTATCCAGCAATTATGTATTTTAATACTACATGTACAGTTTAGTTTTAAAATAGAGCTTGGTCTGCACACTCAATGCCGCAATCACCCGTGTTGAATTTATTGCTATCCTTTTCAAACAGTACACGCACACCGTGTACATGTATTAATACCACACGTGGCGGAGATCTGATCGCTTATCGGTAGTATTGACGACAAGTCCTGTAATAAACAAAGACTATAAGCAGTCACAGGACGCAATCCATCAGCACCTTAAAAAATGCTTTAGTAAACATGCATAATTTAACTTATTCATTAAAACTGCTTTATTTAAATTGAGAGGTTTTTGTCCGACGGTTTACTTGTTAGCTCAATTTGTTAAGAAACATTGCTAACCTCATCCCCTGCTCTGATTGGAAGAGCTGCTTTCTGCTGTCTTTCAAATGCGTGGACGTCACACCTCAACTCTCTTTCGACACGGTAATGCCGCTGCCGCCCCCCACGTCCGCTCTAGAGCGCCTGGACGCGCTTGCCGAGACCTACGGCACCCCACTGCAGATCTATGATGAGCAGCTGATCCGTGACAACGCGCGCCGCTTGCTCACTGCCTTCCGTGCGCACTTTCCGGATTTTCAGCAATTCTACGCTGTCAAGGCGCTTCCCAACCCGGCCATTCTCAAGCTTCTGCACCAGGAGGGATGCGGCATGGACTGCAGCTCCTCCGCTGAGCTTCACATTGTGAAGGAGCTTGGTGTGCCCGGCGACCAGGTCATCTTCACGTCCAACTTCACTGCGAAGAATGACCTTGGTACCGCCTTCGACCAGGGAGTCATCATGAACCTGGACGATGTGTCGCTTGTCGACAGCCTTGTGGCTGTGCGCGGCAAGTGCCCTGAACTCATGAGCTTCCGGCTCAACCCAGGCATCGGCCGCACCGACTCGGAGACCAAGTCTAACGTGCTGGGCGGCCCCGACGCCAAGTTCGGCGTGCCTCCTTTCCAGATCGTCGAGGCCTACCGCAAGGCGCAACAGGCTGGTGCCAAAGGCTTCGGCATCCACATGATGACCGGATCGTGCGTCATGAACCAGGAGTACTGGCGCGAGACTGTAACGGTGCTCTTCAACACCATCGTGCAGCTCAAGAAGGAGCTTGGCATTGAGTTCGAGTTCATGAACATCGGTGGTGGTCTCGGTATTCCGTACCGTGAGGACCAGGAGCCGGTGAATGTCGAGGCTATCGCTAAGATGCTGCGCGAAGTTTTCGACGAGGCCGTGAAGGAGCACGGACTCCAGACACTACCCCGGTTGTGCATGGAGAACGGCCGCTTTATGACTGGTCCGTTCGGCTGGTTGGTGACGCGCTGCGAGGCCATCAAGGAAACGTACGGTCGCTACTACGGTGTCGACGCCTGCATGGCCCATCTGATGAGACCTGGAATGTATGGCGCTTTCCACCACATTTCCATCCCTGCGCGCGCGAATGAGGAGGTGTCTCCTTCGCACGTTGTGGGCACGCTCTGCGAGAACAACGACTGGTTCGCTAAAGACCGTCCGCTTCCCAAGGCGCAGGTGGGCGACCTGTTTGTCATCCACGACACCGGTGCTCACTCGCACTCGATGGGATTCCAGTACAACGGCAAGCTCCGCGCCCCTGAGGTTCTCCTGCGTGCGGACGGCAGCGACTCGCTCATGTACGTATCTTTGAATATGTTGTGACGTTATCATCAGGATCGTTCTCACTAACAGGTTTTATTCGTTTTTGTATAATGCAACAGTCGCGAGCGCGAGACATACGATGCCCTATACGGCAACTGCGTTATCCCCGCGGACCTGTAAAAAACGTAGACAAGAATGACGCATTATATTTCAAGCCTTTTTTTTTCAGGATAAGCGATTGCTATCAACACGCATGAATCATTACTCTGGCCATTAGATGCTGGAAGAGGAAAACAAATATTAATTGTTATGTTTGCAAGTGTCTAGCCGCCAACGCCACGAGCTACGCCCTTTTCCTCGCTCTGCTGGCCGGCAAAGTTATTGAAGATCTGCTCCAGTGTCGTCTGCGAGACGGCGTACTCACGGATTCCTAGCTGCTTTTTGCTCCCCTCAACGCATCTGAATACGTTCGCCAGTCGCGGCACCTGACCTGTAAGCTTGTAGCGACACAGATCATTCTGTCGTTCAAGCAGCTTCACACCAGTGTTGGCGTTAACAGCGAAGCTATCGCGCAAGAATGAATCCAGCGACAAGAATCGCTCCTCGGCCGCCCACCACGCACACAGCATACCCAGTCGCAACGTGCCGTCGCGCTCGAGCGCCGCAGCCAACGCATACCCCGTCGCATGGTTCATCACAATCTTGTCTGCCCAAGAAGCATCACCAAGGGCGTCACATTTAGCTCGCAGTTCTTCACGAGGGAATGTCGTCGTCGGAGCACTCCCACTGAATACAGAAGCTACACGAGCTGCAATGTCGTGTGTCGGTGTGCCTACAAGCTTTAGTTCAAGCATAAGGCCATCACCGAAACGGTGTTTCAAGTGCTGGACGCTGCCAAGACAGCGCAGACGACCACCCACCATAATACCAACACGTGTACAGAGCGCCTCGCATTCCTCCATACTGTGTGTGGTGAGAATGATCGTCGATTCCTTGCGTTGGGTGGAAATGGCAGCAATGACGTTCCACATAAAGCGACGTGAAACTGGATCCATGCCTGTCGAGGGCTCGTCCAAGAAGATAATGGGCGGCGATCCGATGAGTGCAATGGCGACGGAGAGCTTGCGTTTGTTGCCACCACTTAGCGTTCCAGCCAGCTTGTTCTCGAAGTCATCCAAGTTCATTTGGTGCATGAGGGTCTTTACCACGTTGTTCAGATCCGCACTCGCGACACCCTTAATGCGAGCGAATAACTCAAGATGCTCTCGCACGGTCATTAGCTCGAATAGAGCGTCGAACTGCGGGCAATAGCCGATCAGACGGCGTACCTCCAGTTGCTGGTCCAAGATGTCGAAGCCGCCAAGCGTTCCGCTGCCCGACGTTGGGAGGATATCACCAGTCATCATCTTCATCGTGGTGGTCTTCCCAGCTCCGTTAATACCCAGATAGCCGAAGCATTCACCTTTGGGAAGACCAAACGACAGATTGCGGACTGCCACCTTGTTGCCCTTGTACACTTTGCGGATGCCAAGGAGCTTAACTGCGTCGCCGTCGGCCCCACCATTTCGCACACGTTCAGCCTCACGGGCCACGTCTTCGTCCTCTTCAAACGGTGAATCGTTCAGAACGGGGTCTTTGAAGATAGCAGCTTTGATCTTGGGGAAGCTCAGCAAGAAGTCGATACCGACGGCGATTGTAAAGAAGACGATCGAGTCCAGAGCCAAGTACAGCAACTCCCACCCCATGACATCCATCTTGAAAGGACTGATCGTTTCCGATGTCCGACCAAAGGCAGCACCAATCTCACTGAGGCACTGGTTGAGTAAAGCACTTCCTAGATTGAAGAGAGGGCTGAGGCGCCAGAAGAACTTGAGCACTTTATTCGCGTCGCTACTGCTCTCACTCACGACGTCCAAGATGAAGGAAACCACCATGAGCACTACGCCTAGCAGGAAGTTAGCCATGATGGTGTAGGTTTGTGCAGATGCATGTTCCTTGAAGAAGTACGAGAGGCAGTACGTGAAGGGGCAAATGGCGAGTCCAAAGAGGATGAAGAGCAGCACAATAGCGGAGAACGTCTCGCTCGTGCAGCTTACGCAGTCGTTGCCAGTGAAAGCCGCGATGTCAAAGATCTGGATGAGCACAATTGCCGCGATGAACGGAATAATGTATGTGAACAAGTCCCAAAGGTAGTTGGCAAGCCAGAACGCTGGGAGACTCACTCCCGAGACGAGTTGCTGGTGCTTGGAGTTGTGTTCTGACTGCTTTTCTTTCACGAGAAACCCGACAATGGAAGCTGGGAAGAAAGCAAAGGCGATGACGATGAAGATACACGCAGTAAAGGCTAGGAACGATCCAAAGAGCGCCTGGGTAGCTGCTGTCATTGGCAGAGGATACGTGTTTGCCTTGAGCGTCACGTCGGTATCTCCTCCTGCCATGAAGCGGTAAAGGGCTTGGTCAATCAAGGCCTTGAAGATGACAGCTCCATGTGCTGCGGTCGTGTTCACAAAGAGGTGATAACCAAACATTTGCTCAGTTCCAGAGGCATGGACGAGATAGCCACCGTATTGGCCCTTCACTGGAGTTTGTGTGACTTTGGTCATCTCATCGTCAGTCTTTCCGAAAGCCCGCTGATAAATCTTGTCACTTATACGAAGACAATACTCGTTGCTATGAGAATTGCTTGAGCTATCGAGATCTGCCTCGGCGTAGCTCACATTGAACACCGAAGTGGGCCATTCCGTGTATGGAGGAGACGAAATGTCGGTATTTGTGAAAGGAGAAGAATCGCCACCAGTGAAGAACGAGTTCATAATCTTTGAGCACCACTGGGAGTCGTCAGCTTCGCAGAAGTATGGAACATTGGGCACTTTTGCCTCAAAGTCTTCAGTACTAAGTGCTAGTTTTACGTCAGACCGTGTGAGCGCGCTGGTCTTCAAGATAATGAATCCAGCGGCAAGCAGTGTCACGGGTAGAAGAGCGCTGAAGATGATAACTCGGCGATCACGCTTTGCGATCCGGAAGCGCTTGAGCAACAGTGCCGACAGGTGCACGAGGAACATAGTGATGCCAGTCAGATTCGCAATAGACGGACCACCAGGTGGCAAAGCAGCATCGCCGGTGTTGGCGTTCGCACCGGTTTTGCTGAGCGTATGCTGGTTGTCTTCATCGCTGGCCTCGGCTACTTTGATGAACACCTCCTCGAGCGTCGTGACTGAAATGCCGTACGACAGCACGCCTAGATCACGCAGTCTCTCGTCGAGTTCTTCAAAAAGTTGTGGAAACGAGGCAGTACTGTCCAATGGGAGTTGAAAGGCGATTTCAGCACCGACGTTACTGAGCACCTTGGCTGCAGGTACGCGAGCAGTAATCAGCGATTGCAATAACGCTTCCTTGCAAGGTACAGCGGGATCACTACTCTTGACCAATGTGAAGTTGTATCCGGCACCGTAGCGATTTTTCAGGAACAGTGACGACCCACAGCACCGAAGTTGTCCTTCAGCCATGATGGCAATGCGATCTCCCAGAATGTCGGCTTCGTCCATGAAGTGGGTTGTGAGTACCATCACTCGGTTGGCGCGGTTGTTGAGTAGAATCTCCCAGGTGCTACGCCGACTGTAAGGATCCATGCCACTCGTGGGCTCATCCAGGAACACCAGTGAGCTGTCACCTAGCAAACAAATGGCAACCGACAGCTTTCGCTTCATGCCACCTGAGAGAGAACCAGCATACACCTTGCGCTTCTCCGTAAGACCCACTTCCGTGATCTTGGTATTCACCTCGTCTCGAAGTGCAGCACCGCGATATCCCTTCATACGTCCATAGAACCGCAAGTGTTCTTCGACTGTAAGTTCGCTGTATAGCACATCGTGCTGGAAACACAGTCCCAAGGATTGCCGGATTTCTCCCATGTCGTTGATGAGTGACAGTCCACGGAATGAGGCATCTCCCGACGAAGGCGCCACCATTCCGGTGAGCATCGAAATGAGTGTGGTTTTACCAGCTCCGTTGTGACCCAGCAGACAAGTGATCTGATCCTTATACATGGCAAGACTTACACCTCGAACGGCGTACTTGATTCCTCCCGGTACAGCGAACTCTTTCTTGATATCTCGGATCACCAGCGCCTCACCTGAGCGCTCTTGGTGCAGTAGATCTTCACTGGCCTCCTCCATGTTGGGGTTCTGTATATCAAGTATGGCGTGACTGCCATTGACGACATTATTTGCAACGTCATTGACCTTGCTCGTGCTACTCCTCGAGCGTAAAGCACTAATCCAATAGCTGGGCTGGAACGGGAAGTACCATTTCTCCACAGTACCGTACTCTCGTGGAATCACACGTTCCAGATAGAGCCCAGCGATCGTGTAAAGGAAAGTGTCGAAGAAGAGCATTCCGAGCGCAGACCCGAACTTGAAATTGTTAACAACTGTGCTGGACGACGCGAAGCTCATGCCGACACCCGTCGATTCTGCTGTGGCCAACGTCTGAACTCCGAATGCCAACGCCACAGGTGGAAGTAAGCAAGCTCCAGTCTTCGAATCAATCGACGATGTCGACGAGAACCCACTCGACACAAAGTACATGAAGAAGAAGAGCACCATGCCTGCGAAAGACCCCGTACGCGAACGGGAGAACAGCGTACTCATGAAAAAGCCAAAGGATAATACGCTGAGCGAGAAGAGCAGGAAGAAGATGAAGATCAACACTGGATCACTGTTCGGGAAGAGTCCAGCGCTGCTTGCGATCGCTTGCACGATAGCGCTCAGGATGAAGATGATCAAGTACGTGATGTACCAGGACAGGATGATTGCACTATCGGACATACCGAGGATCTTGAGGTATTCACGAGAGCGAGTCTCCTTCTCCTGGATAAGCACCACGAGCACACGCGAGATAGCATACAGGTACGCTAATATGAACACAAGTGGAAAGACTGAGCTAACTTGGTCGTAGAACGGGGCCGACAGGAAGCTCTCGATTGGGAAAGGAGCCACCGTCGTTGCAAAATACGGCTGTGGAGCCTGGCGCAAGGGAACAAGAAGTTGATCTTTGGCAGCGCTTGATAGCAGCATTTGCCATGCCGTGCCTGTACTACTGAAAGCAGCGGACAATCCACTGTTTAATAGCACGTCACCGTCAACAGCATGAAAGAGGCGGGCATCGTTCTCTGTACTCTTCACAGCAGTCGATAGTTTCTGCGTGCAAGCACCGGTGGTGCTTTTGGTTTTTGCATCCCATTCCGGCAAACAGTTAACGAAGCGTGCGACAAGCGTCTGTAACGTCATGAAACCCTGCGAAGCATAAGAGGTATAGTAAGTTTGCTCAATGGTGCGCTGGAATGGAGCTTCGAACGCCGGGTCCCCGAGAGTACGAGGAACAGCCCCAGGTAAACCTCGACTCCCCATCGTTGAGTTCATGCGCAGAGAGTACTCAATCGACTGGTATGTGCCTATGTCCTCATCTGCTGGGTACTCATCGAACACTAACGCAGCATAAATGATCGGTGTCGCGAAGGATTTCCCGTAGCCAACTTCTCCGATATAAGACTCCAAAGCATCTTCGGAATCGAAGAAAACGACACTGTCTTCAAGGCTCGGCAACGTCACGCCAACAGTGGCATCGACAACCACACGTGGGTACCAAGTCTTGGCGGCCTCGAGGAAATATTTGCGTGTGAAGTCGTTATCGGGAGTAATAGCCAGTTTGTACGGGGTCACGTAGTTTCGGCAAGATTCCAGTACAGAAAAAGCTGAAGAAGTGTCTGTGCTTACGAGTCCACCGTAGCCTACGCTTAAGGCACAGGCCTGTTGGTCATCAGCTGAAACTCCAGTTGTGTTGTGTAGTTCAGCTGCAGCGCGTAGCCCCAGGTATGTCATGAGCCCGGTGAGTGTCGGTTCTTGAACGAGATATCCGTTCTGCATAAGAGAGTACGACTTCTCCGAAGCTGTGCTACTCCAGCCGGCAGGAACTTGTGCATCGTCCGAAAGTGCCTTAAGAGCAGTGGTGAGCAGGATGAAGAGCACCGGCAGAAAGATCTCCAATAGCATGGCCACCCAGTGTCGCTTTTTCAACAACCAGCTCTTGGATAGAAGAGTCTGCTGCGTCGTCAGGAAGTTGCGACTTCCCGGACGAGGGCGACTAGCCCCTCCTGGTTTCGCGTCCCCCATTGCGCTGATCTAAGCTGCTGAAGTTGGAGGTTCAAGGCACAAGTGCAAGTGAGGTTTATCAAGTTCGGCATGAATAGCCAGTCGGAGTTTTTTGAAGCGGTTTCTACATGTAGTACCAGAGCTGTCTCCCATGCGCGAATGCGGTCAGCCTTTAGACTATTTCCAGCGAAGTGGTGATGCCTTTAGCAGGCTTGGAATAGGACAAGTTACAAGTTGTAGCTTACAGAGAGGAGAACCAACTACATCACGACATCCTTGTTCGACAATTAGCTCGTAAACACTCTGTCCATGAAGATTGCCCATTTCGCTATCTCAAATTTAGTACACTGTTCATGCTGCAGCCAGCTTTCATCGACATAGGGTGCATTATGGTTACTTCTGTTGTGCCTTGCCATTCTTCTACCAAGTCCTCTATGCTATGCTATCCCCCGCGGTTAGATCTCGGGCTTCACCACCTTGGTCGTGTACGCCTCGAGAATGTCACCAGGTTGGAACTCGTCCGTGCCTGCAAGCTGAAGTCCGCATTCCTGGCCCTTGTTCACCTCCGACACCTTCTGCTGGAAGTGACGCATGGACGCCATGTCCACGTTCTCGAGGATAGTCTCTCCATCACGCACGAGACGGTACTTGGCCTGCATGTTGAGCGACCCTGAAGTCACCTTGCAGCCAGCAATGTTGGTAGTACGGGTTCCAGACGTTGAGATCGGGATCGACTGGATCACTTCAGCTGAACCAATCACCTCGTGGACCACCACACCCTTGAGGTTGTCTTGTAGCAACTCCTTGATGTCATCTAACAGACTGTATACTATGCGGTGTTGACGCAAAGTCACTTGCTTCTGTAGTGCTTCTTGGTCAATAGAAGCCGGATGCTTAATATTGAACGAGTAGATTGTAGAACCCGTAGCTTCAGCCATAACGAGGTCAGACGAGGTTACAGGCCCCACTGCGGACATGATGCACTTGATCGCTGCCTCATCGCTTGGTAGGGTTGCAATTAGCTCATCGATAGCCGCAATGACACCCACAGAGTCCGTCTTGACGATGATGGGAACCACGTTGGCGATGTAGCCCTCGTCTCCAGGCTTCAGTGCTGCCACGCGCTTCGCCTCTTCGACAGCTTCTCGTCGGCGTAGCTCCACTTGCTCCCATTTACGACGAGCACCAGCAAAACGTCGACGACGGCGCGGGGTTCCACTGTCATCACCCTGACTATCCGCTTCTTCATCGTCGGCCTTTGCCATTTGGTCCCAGTCAATCATGGCCTGACGCGCTGCCACAACCTCCTTGGCGCGTTCTTCAGTCGGCACAGATAGCAACGCTACGCCACCTTCAGGCAACCCCTTCAATCCGATCACTCGCACGGGGTGACCAGGTGTCATTTGCTTAACACGCTTTCCAGCTTCGTCGACCAGAGCGCGCACCTTTCCGTATTCCATTCCGCAAACAACAAACGACCCCTGCTTGAGGGTACCCCACTTGACAATTGTGTCCACTTGAGTACCGACGCCCCGTGCCACATTGGCTTCTAGCACAATAGCTTCACCTGACACCTTGGCATCAGCACGCAGGTCCAGCATTTCAGCGTGAAGAGCAATGGTCTCCTTGAGTTGGTCTAGACCCTCGCCGGTCTTACCAGACACACAGACCATGGGGGTATCTCCACCCATGCTCTCGACTACAATCCCTTGGTTCAGCAGTTCGGAGCCCAGGCGGTTCATCACCTCACCCTTGTCATGTTCGTGCATGTCCATCTTTGTGACAGCCACCACAAGCGGCACATTGTTCTTGATTGCCAGACGCGCCACTTCAACAGTCTGAGGACGTACACCGTCGTCGGCTGCTACCACCAGGACGAGCAGGTCGGTGAGCTCTGAGCCACGAGACCGCATGTTGCTGAACGCAGCGTGACCAGGCGTATCGATGAAGGTCACCTTCGCTTGAGAGCCAAACTTCTTGCCCATGTCCACTGAGAAGGCTCCGATGCGTTGTGTGATACCTCCTGCCTCTGAGGCTGCCACCTTCGACTTGCGTAGCGCATCTAGCAGTGTGGTTTTGCCGTGGTCAACGTGGCCCATCACAGACACAATAGGTGGTCGCACTTGGAACTGCGAACAGTCCACGGGCGGGTTCGTTAACTCCAGATCGACAAAGTCCGGAGGCAGCAGCACCGGGATCATGTTCTGCGAGTCCACCACGAGCTCAGCAATGTCGTTTGTCAGCACTGATTCCTCGTTCAGTCCGTTCTCGCCCAGTTCTTTGAGTGCACGGAAAACCACACGGGTCTTGACGCTCATAAGTTCAGCCAGATCCTTGACCGTCAGTGACGTTGGAATCTCCACCTCTTGCGCCGGCAGCTCCTCCTTGGGTTTCCGCTTGGATTCCTTGCGTTGCATTCTCTGGGAGCGACGCCGTTCGCGGTCTTCCGTGTCACTGCGGTCCTCCCAGTCAATATCTCCGAATAGATCTGCCGTCGAGTCGAAGATGCTGTTCTCAAACTGGAAATTCTTGACCAGGTTGCGCGTTCCTTTCTTGCGTTTCGTGTTCATCTTGATGGCCTTGCGACTGGAGGGTGGAGATTCAACGCGATCGCTCTCTCCATCGGATGGGATACCCAGAGCCGCTAGTACCGTGGATGGGTCATTGTTACCGGTAAAGAGTTTGGTCTTCTTGGGCTTCTGTCGCGGATGCTTTGGCTGTCGCTTGGTGAACGTGTCGTCGTCATCAAAGACATCGAGCCCAAGCTGTGCCAGTGTGATCTCAGGGCTGTCATCTTCTTTGGGTGCAACTCCGATACCGTCCAGTAGGCCCAGGGACGACGGCTTCTTTAAGTCTGTGATTGGCTGCTCGTCCGCTACGTCTTCAAAAGCAAAGCTCAGCAGGTTCTGGAACTTGTTAGTGAACACCGGTGCCTCCTTTTCTACCGACTTCTTGGAGCGGCGACGTTTAGGCCGCTGTTTGTTGTTGTTATTGTTGTTGTTTTGCTGGTTGGGCTCCGCCTTGCCCGCTGCAGGCTCCTGCTGTTGACGTTTGCCCTTGAAGTGACCATGTGAGCGCGGCTTTGGTACCGATAGAGCGCCGAAGTGGCGGAAACTCAGTGTCAGACCTGCAGACGCACTCGTTCCGCGCTCCAGCAACAGCGCAGAGCGCCGAAGCAGTGTCCATTGACCTGCCATCGATGCCTTGCCAGGGTATCCGCTCACTGGCTGGTGTACTGCACACCGTTCTTTTTCTTATCGAAATGGTTACACTTATTAAGGCTGATGAATCAGAGCATTTGACGCTATCATATCAATACAACCGTGACCTGCATTTTTCAATAATATCAACTACGAGAGTCGGTTCGAGCATGCCTATCGCGTTGCTTACTCAAGCCAAGTGTTCGGAGAGCCCCAGGAACAGGTTGTCACGCGTGGCGGCATCTGTTGGCAGGAGCAAGATGCTAAGTGCGCCGCTGATGCTGTTCCGGAGCGGAGACGCGTCGCTGACGTCAGATCTCCGCGTCCTGGTGGCGCGCTCCAAGGCGCCAAAAGGCGACTGGCTTGGCCAGTTCTTCACGGGAATGGGGACGCACTTGGCGGCATTGAGAGAAGCCAAGTCGCGCTCGTTAAAGGCTAGATGTTCATATTATGTGCAGTCTAACCGACAAAATGAAGCAACGGAGCGCAGAGGGGGTGACGACGAGCGGCTATCGAGCAGTCCATGCCCGTCATCTAGTAGCAGCAGCGACAGCAGTAGCAGCCCCAGTAGTGGCAGCTCCAGTTCTGACTCAAGTGACAGCTCCAGTGACAATGAAGAGGAGGCTCTGCCGCCATCTGCTAATGGTGGAGGTGACAAAGGAGAAAACGATAAAGGAGGAGATGATGACCAGAAGAAAAAAAAAGATAACGTTGACGAAGATGGAAACAACAGCGACTCAAGTAGTGACAGTTCCGCCGATGAAAGTGACCAGGAGAAGGACGATGGGGTCATGATTGACACAGATGATGAAAAGGATAAGGCTCACAATTTAATTGACCCCACGGACGAGGACTTGAGCGATAGCGATGGAAGTTCGGACCTGGAGAACTCGTATCCACAGCTGCCCTCCGCCCCAGTGGACACGCTGATTGCATTCCGACAGCGAGCAGCACAGAAGGAATTGCAGATGAGTGAAAAACTCAAGAAGGAGGTTATTGCAGATGCCAGACAACGACATCAAGAGCGACAGCAAGCTCTGCGATCCAAGAAGAAGAAGAAATCCCCGCAGTCCAAGCGACGGCACTCAAAACAGAGTGACAGTATTTTTAACGGATCGAATCACACGAACGGTAGCACCGGCACTGCCGACGCTATGGAGGATGAGTGGATGGTGGACTGCTCTTGTGGACTAAAGGAGAAAAACTATGACGACGGGACGTCTATGATCCAGTGCGATAGTTGCTCACACTGGGTGCATGCTAAATGTGCAGACAAGCAGCCGGAAGCCGTGGCTCAAGAGAAGTTCCTGTGCTTTCGATGCGGCTGGATGTTCGACTGCGTGTGTGATATTCGCCGCCAGCTTAACCACGATGACGGCCAGCGTATGGTTGAGTGCGAAAGCTGCGAGACATGGCAACATACTAAGTGCGTGGGTATACCAATGACTGAGGAGCCAGCAGACGACTACAGATGTCCCCGATGTGTGAAGAAAGCTCGTCGACGCAAATCTGGATCGAAAAGCAGTGGAAGTCGTGATCGACAGCGAAAGCGAAGCCACAGAGAGCAGTCTCGAAATCATCGGAAAAACAGCGATCTGTCTCCGCCTGTTGCGATAGATGTTCGGTCTGCTGCTCGCTCGCTCGATGCGTTGACAATGCCGACCCGTTCCCATAGTAGCAGACGTGGTGAGCACAAAGAATCGCCCAAGATGAAGAGGAAAGCTTCTCTTGCTCAATCGCCTTCCCCTCCTCCTGTTCCGGCAGTCTCTCCTCCGTCCACTCCCCCTCCGCCTCCATCATCGCCACCTCCACCTTCCGCGAGATCTGCGCGTGATCGAAGCCACAGCCGTGTGAAACGAAGAAGTGAGAGGGAACGAGATCGTGCATCTACATCTAGTAGTCCATCCCATCGCAAGCGAGGCCGATCAATGGGTGATAGTCCATCGTCTTTGAAGAAGCCACACTCGGAAACGAGCGATAAGGGCCAGCATCCTGCGATCCCGACTACTGTGACACCGTCACCGAGAGGCAAAGGGCTCATGCTTCGAGGATATTCTCCTGCTTCTGCAAGAACGGATGCCCCCTCATTGCGATCAGCAGACGTACGTCCTCCACTCCCACTCACCCCGCCGTCTGGAGGCAGCAACAGCAGCCACAACAACCACAGTCAAGTCGGTCGGAAGCGCAAGGGTAGCTCTGCACGGGACCGGCTAGCGAAAAAGCTCAAAATCCGGAAGAACTCGCTGCGGTAAGCTCGACCATTTTTTTTTATCAAGGACGAGTATTGATGTGAAGTGGGTTAGTTATTACGCTACGAAACACGGTAGTTATTCATTTGTTGTTGATTTCCACCCACTTTTAAGTTATGTCCACGGGTAAAACGAGGGGAAGAGAACACTTCCAAGCACGGTGAAGAGCAGGAAGTAGCTCACGACGAGTCTACCGTAACTTGTCAGAACTGGAGGCGCTTTGCTTTTCACTTTGGAGCCACACATCAGCATGGCAGGGTGCCAAAACAGTGGAGGGCACGCACACAAGAATCTCGTTGTCACCTGAATGTGTACGACCAGTAGTGCGTTCACCACTAAGAACAACCAATGCACATAATACGGAGTTAGAGCAGTGCCCCTCCAGCCCCGTCCTTGCGGTTCTGACACCACAATGGATTGTCCCGGAACGACACTACGCCGAAAGTACCCGTCAAGTGCATGGAAACTCAGCAAAAAGATCGGCGCAGCAAGGATAAAGTTTGGCAGTTGCTTCCACTCGTAGTAGCGGAATAGTCCAACGTTCCAGTACTTGCTCTGGATGAATGAGTACATTGCAGTCAAGTTTGGCACCGCGTTCTCACACCAGCTACGGTCCTCCCTTTCACCCGTCCCGAAAACTTCCCAACCGAAACGCTGTACTAGCGACGGGCAGTATGGCACCATCGAGGTGACGAAATACACGATCTGAGGTCCAATTGCCAGGATACCGAGAACCGCAGTTCGTATCCAGAAGCCTAAGAACCGGAAAAACTCTCGTGGGGATGGCGAGACTGTCACGCGATACCACGCAATGAACACTGTCGGCATGAATCACATTAGTGATCGATCAGCCAAAACTTCTACACGGAAGCTAAACGTACATGATAGCAAAACGCCGTTGGATCGTGTTGCCGATGCTGCACCAAACAGCAGAGCGCAGAGCACCAGGTCCAGGAAGGATTGACTGGTCTTCGGCTGCTGTGCGTGTTTGGCAAGGAAGTACATGCCACTAAAGCTCAGTAGACACATCAGACTCTCCGAGTAAATAGCCGACATGAAGATGCTGGACGGCGCCACGCAGAAGAGGTAGGCTGCTCGTCGAGCGACGAGCTCGTCCCGTAGCACAACACAGCCCAGGCGATAGAGAAACAGCGCCGCCAGCACGAAGCTCGCATTGCTGACAAGCCAACCGCTGACCATCACGGCTGATGAAGTCTCTAGAGGCATCAAACCAGCGAGCAATCGCGCCAACAACGGATAGAGAGGAAAGAAAGCGTGAAAGTGCTCGAAGTCGTAGCCATGCAGCGCGATGTGTGAGTAGTAGACGCCGTCCCAGTTGCTTAAAGGCGCGAAGGGTGACCCCCCCGCCTGCAGATGCGAAGAAGTATCATAGGGCACTACGATTGCTGAAGTTGACAGTGCCAGTAGCGTCACACACGCTCGCGTCGCCGCCGCGAAGACGACGATGCGGCTCTGCATTTGGAGGGATACTTTCCTGTATTTCATGTGACAAATTGTCTTTTAGCGACAATTTATATGTACTCTATTTAGTTGACAATTTTTGTCTACAGTATCAAAAACTCTAATTTCAAGTTCTAGCTCAGTTGAGACCTTCCAGCCATACAAGCGTATCCTCGGCGCCTCCTTCCTCAGCGTGCTCCAGCGCCTGTTCCACAGAACACGAACTGCGCACGTACTCGTAGAGGAACTGAGCAACCTCCACATGGTCCATGTAGGCGGCGGCATTGAAGGCCTCGTAGTTATTGCAGACCTCGCGGTGGTGTTCAGTAAGCCATTGGACCGCCGGAAGGTGACCATTCGTAGCTGCCAGCTCTAGTGCGATCGGCGCCCAGCGTGAGTCAGTCATTGTTACCTCCTCATCGCCGCTGGACTCGTCGTCGACAACCTCCTCGTCCTCGACGTGATTACTGCGATCGAAGTGCAGCCAACGCAGGACATGCACGAAGCCATGGCGAGCAGCCTCATCGACCGCCTTGGAGCTTGTCTGCCATTTACGTGGAATTTGCTCATCACGCAGATACTGGAGAATATCAACGTGACCGGCAGCGGCAGCAGCGTCCATTGCGGTAGTCGACGTTGGGGAGCTCTGCTCGTACAGTTGGCGAAAGTTTGCGATCAGCCACTCCACACAGTCGCGGTGACCCCCTTCGACTGCCGCAACCAGCGCGTTCATGGCGTCGGACTCGACGGTGAGGTTCACCATCTCGTTCTCGTACAGGTATACCAGAACATCGCTGTGTCCATTGCGCGCCGCCTTCTCAATGGCCTCTACGGTGCAGTTCGGAAGGTGTCCATCGACACTCATAGGCAGCGCCGTGGCATGATCATGAAACCACTTTAGAATGCTGACCTGGCCGTACTCGGACGCAACGTCCATCCACGATCCGGCAGCCTCCTCACACTTGAGCGACTTCACCGGCAGTACGGCAATGAGCCAGGTCAACACCGCAGCTTGGCCGTTGGCGATGGCAGCGTGGACCATGTTGGGGCCGACGCTCTCGAACAGTTGGGGAAAGTGTTCACCCAGGTACTCGAGGACGTACAAGTGTCCTCCGCGTGCGGCATTAACCATGGCACTGGACGTACACTCCTCCTTGCGCACCTCGCAGAGCCAACGCACGATGTGCAAATGACCCTCCGTGGCTGCGTAGTTCACTGCGCTTGGTGTACAGCCCTCAGAGCGATTGTCGTTAAGCCATTGCAACACTTGTAGCTGACCGTTCTGCGCCGCCAGATCCATTGCGCGGCTGGTGCATCCCTCCGAGCGGTTCTTGTGAAGCCATTGCACAACCGGAAGATGCCCACTGCTAGCCGCATAGTCCATGGCCTTGGTGGTGCACCCCTCGCTGCGGTTTGCGTGCAACCACTGAACAATAGGAATGTGGCCGTTTTTGGCGGCGTCATCCATGGCGCGTGTCGAGCAGCCGCTCAACTGCTCCGTGCTGTGCAGCCATGTGAGGATGTCCAAGTGGCCGTTACTAGCAGCAAAGTCCATAACCAGCGAGTTGCTTCCGTCGTGCGGTGTCTTGGGCGCCGTGAGCGCCAAGTGCTGCACCAAGAACTTCATGCCTTCTGCCGCTGCGCGCTCCAGCGTCCATCCGTTGGAGTAGTCGAGGAATTCGTTCACGGCTCCCCATACGTGCGTCAGCTCACTCATGCCGTCGCGGTTAGCACACACAAGCCTCGCCGCCGTCAGCACCATCTTGACTCAGTCGCGTCTTCGGTTGATAGTGGAGACCTTGTCGCAATTGAAGAGAGTGGAGGGCCAAGTCCACTCGGTGGTGTTGCGGCGGCTTTGAGGCGAAAGCGGTAGTGATGGAAATAAGCATAGTGCTTCAGCTTCAGCAGTTCCTGCCCACCGAAAGCCAACGCGCCCTTTCGCTTTTTGTCGCAGATGAACCAATCGCGTGCGCGGATCAGTCGATACATCGTGACAGCCACGCACTTGGACTCTGTACCGTAGACAATCTAATGGCCAGCAAGTCAAGACAGGCGGGCAAGATTTTTTTTAACACGTCAGGACTGGCAGGGCATATGCAACCGTCCTCATGAACATCGTGGTGAAAGCTCGCGCACGGAGCTGACCGATGATACCCGTACATGTATTTCTGATCACACCTCGACACAGATTCTCAGATCTGGGCAAATCCCCAGGAAATTTAGATTGGTACATGTACATTCTCAACTAACATGTAAATTAACTTGCGAAACCTGATATCCTGTCATACATATTAAAAGAAATGTCCACCAAGTCCGTTCGTAGAGATTACTTTAAACTAAACTTGATATTGCTCCGCTCGACAGCCAAGGAGAATGGTCAAAAACCTGAGCGTTTCGTGTGACGGACGGACAGACACCGTGCTAGCATTGATAGTTTAGGACTAGCCGGCCGCCGCCGCTACGCAGCGGAGTGTCTTGGTTTGCTGGAGATGAGGTGGCCGCAAATTTAGTGCTTGCTGGTGTCGCGGGTTTTGTGAGCGTGGCTCACCCCGTAGATCTTGGCATCGTGTATTTAACCTCTTGCCTTTTCGTAGTCTCATTCGGCCCCGTATAATATCGTGGTTCGGAACGTTTCCGTTACCCCGTCCTGCAAGTTGGATGTTGTTTTCTTCAAAGGTCCATGCTCTTTCGTGCTCTTCATGGCTTCGTGGTTCTTGCTCACCCGTGGCCCACGCTGCTCAGCGGTTATGCGCTCTCTCTGGTGGGTTCATGCTCTTTAGTACGGCCTTTTCGTAAATGCTTAATTTTCTCTGTTCTCAAACGTTTACGTGGGTTGCACTGGCTTCGTGGTAGATACTATTTCGTGGCCGTTGCGTTTCCATCGCCGATACTCTAGCCGAAATGTGTTATTCCGTGGTTTGGTGTCTCCATGCAATCGTGTTGTTTCGTCGCCCGTGTATCGTGCTCTCCTGGTAAGGTTCCATCGACCGCGGTATCACGCTATCGTGCAATCACGGTGTGGTAATGCTGTCTATGGTATTGTGCTCACGTAGTGTATCTGCGTTGTCCGTGTTATCGTGTTCTACAATGGCATCGTGCTCCACATTGTGTAGTCGTGGTTACCCCAAGCGCCCACCTCCCCGTTCATTTCGTGGCTGGTCCGCAGTCCGTGCAATCTAGTTCTAATGTAGTACTGTCCTCCGTGCTCGGTAAGCTCAGATTCAACACTGGTATCGTTCTCTGCGGCTCTGTGATTTTCCGTGTATAGCTCCGCGACTGAGCTCTCCCATGGCTTAGTGGCACAGTCCATGCTATCGTGCTAACTTGTGGTGTCGCAGCTGGTCTTTCGTCAATGCGATCGTTAGCTACCGTAGTATCGTGCTGTGAGATTTGGTGAGCTCCGGTTCTACCCTAATATCGCGTCCCAATACTCGGTGATATCCCGGTTATGGTCTCCCGCGGATTCATGTTTGGTCTGTTGACTGTGCTCCATGTTTAACCGTGGTGCTGTTGGAGAATTGTTTCTGCTCACTCTCACCGTTACGTGCTCTACCGTGGCTTCGAACGTGCATGCTCTTCCGTAGCTGTGCTTTTCAGCATGCTGGGGTGTCTATATATTTAATTTCTTTCCGTGGCCCGTACGCTCCCGTCATTTACTTCTCCTTCTGTCCTTTTCATGGCTGTGCGCTCTTCCGTCTTTCACGCTACTCATAACTGAGAATCTGTGTCGAGGTGTGATCAGAAATACATACGTGAGAAGACAAGAATGTACAGCGAGCGCATCTACAATGCGTACAAGGAAGCAGTGCCAACAACAAAGCGATCTAAGAAGGCCATCGAGGACAAATGGCGGGATTGTTGGAGATGTACCGCTTTATTAGTGATTTCAACGCAAACAGAATCAGAGGGAGCACGGGAAAGCCGAATTGGTTTGATCTCCCTCGTAGAGAAATGAAGGATCTCAGGTATTCGTGCTGTTTACTTGATTAACAGACTTATTGTATGTATTATTTACAGAGCTGCCCATCGTATCGGTAGTCCAAAAATTACCCAGCGAATCTATAAAGAACTAAATGGATTACTAGATCGTCAACCCGACACTGTTCCTCTCGTTGCTACATTTGCTTCTGAAGCTCGCTTCAGTGGTCAAGACGTGCAAGACCGATCAAGTGGTACTGTGTTTGGCGAAGATGAGCCGGACGCCGCGAAGGATCCCCTCAATACCGGGCGGAAAAGTAATAAGCGCAAGGGCCCCGACAAATACGACAGGCTGCGGGAATTCTTGAAGAGCGCTCACAAGCTTCGCTTACGCTGGCCAAGGAATTGCATGCTGCGGAGCTAGAGGAGAGACGTCGCCAGCACAGCGAACACATGTTGCTGCTACGGGAATTTTTTGGTGTATTCAAAGGAGCAGAGAAATAATGCTGAAATAGAAGAAAAAAAATTTGCTTACTACTTTAATGCTGGCTGCGTGCTTAAAATAAAAGTTTATTCGTTTATTAATTATATATCGCTACCACTACGAAATACAAACCATTTGTTGAGGTTGGCACGAAGATTATCATCAGTTGAGTCTTCTACTTTGGTTTCTGGGTCTGGAAACTTATCTTGATATTCTTTTAATAATCTGCGGAATACCGCATTGTTCTTCAAATCGGAATGCGCACGCCTCAAACGGAGGGAACGAGACCAGCGATTGCAGCTCACAACACACAACCTGGACAACTTCTCTTATAATTCCGGACACTGTCGATGGCCCCACCCCGAAACGGCCAGCGGTGTTTTGTAGAGTCACCCCTTAAGCACAGAGAAACAGAAAAGTTGCCAAGCGCATATGCGGTAATACAGCGTCGGCGGTCTGTCGAACCGGAGCGAGCCTAGGACAGACAATTTGAGCGAGAGACTCAAAACTGATAGCATCCATACGAAACAGGTTACGCATACTGCTGTTGAAAAATGTTCGGGAAGAAAACAGCTTTTTGTCCAATGTGAGCTTCTCTCTTAAGCAAGAATTTCCCAATCTTCAGGCTCAGCGTACGTGTCTATCACCTCTATTTCCATATTAAACGAATCTTGGAGAAGCATAATAGATTGCCCCCCCCCCCTACTACAACGGGAGCCATCGATTCCAGAAGCAGGAGTGTTACCAGAGCTTGCTCGTGCATGATAGCCTCGGTTTGTATCCAGCGTTTTTTTAAGAGTAGCATTTTAATTTATTTATGCACGAGCCGTCACAACACATATTCGAGGTTCCAGATAATGAATGTGTGAAGTCATCGCGAAAACGCGGCCCTTCGAACTTAATTCAAGGTTCCAGATTCAAAGCTTAGGTGAAGAGGCCCAGTGTGGGGTGCAGGGGTGTAAACCGCAATAGTCAAATTTTAAAGTTTTTATAATGATTGTAAATAATAATAATATTGTGATTTATTATCTAACGCTGTTATAATTTTAAAATTATAGTTGTAATTTGTACTACTGCAAAAAAAAAAAAAATAGTCATAATTTTATGATTGTAAATAATAAAATAGCTGTGATTTTTTATCTAACGCTGATGCGCTCGGCAGCCAGTATAACACCCGCATTAGCGTGAGTTTTACTAGCCCTAGCCCGTTACGGACGGAAGGACGGACGCAGATCACACTCCACTAGGGAGGGGTAAGATCAAGCTTTTCACGACCAAGTCGTAGGCTACGCATATTATAATATGTGTGTGTAGTACTCTGTTCCATCTCAAATCTAACACTTCTCTTTTGTTGACATTTTTGTTAAACTAATGGTGTGATTTAGCTAAACAAGCCCACTGTGGAAAGCCCTGCCTTAGCTTTATAAAATAGTATTTGTTTTGGTAGATGATAGGCAAACAGCAACGAAGTACAGAGCAAAAGATCGTTATTCGTTTTGACGGGGGGAACGTCTGGTTTCGCAGTGAGCTTCCCAAATTGCTGAGGTTTTCAGGAGAGGTCGTTTTTGTTACGGTCTTACAAGATGTGAAAATAGTTCTTTAAAAGCTGCTTTGATCAATTACATCTATGTAATTACAGTCTGACATTTTAGATCTCGCAAAAGGTGAAAATAAATAAAACAAGGTGTGTAGAAAAAAGTTCATTAAGAAATAAAAGATAATAATTTGAGTTGGTGGCGCCTTCATTTTTTTAAGTGTCTTCTGGCCCTTTCTAGATACCAAAGAGTCGCAAGGAAATGAGGTTGGAAGCACTCCGTTGCGAATGTGGTGCTTCGAACCTCGGGGGGGGGGGTTTGTATGTATTGTCTTCCCCACACGCATTGACAGATTCTAGTATTTATTGTGCTGTCACAAAGCACTTATCTATCGTCTTACTTGGAAGATCACAGTAAGCTTTTTCAACTTCCGCATTTAAAACATCGATCTTGTACGTTGGTTTTCGGTATTGATCCGACTGTAGCGAGTTAAACAGACCCAAGTCGAGTACGCTCATATCGGGCGACTTCGCTGGCTGGTATTTGATAGCGACGTTGTGCGCTTTGGCTGCTGACGCTAGAGCGGGGTGGTCATGGGTCACGTGGGGCGATGCGTTGTCTTGCTGGATAACAACACGTTTCTTTCGGTACCCTAGAACATCGGAAACAATAAATAAGAGCATTTTAATAAAAAAAAAAGCAATTGGCAACTTTACCCGGCCATGCCGCCTCAATTACCGAGAAAACTTTATCGGACAGCAGCTCCATGTACACTTTCGTGGCCATGCTTCGATTTTTCGTTTCTTGCGTGCCAGCAACCCGATTCTTTGACGTTTTATTAGCAGCGACCAACTCAACAATAGGCCATATGCCTAGCTTGCCACTAAAACATTTTTGCTTCGGCAATCGTTCTTGGGCGGCCGACAGCGGCTGAAGACATTACCTTACCAATGTAGCGTCTATTTGCACACGTACGATGAGGGTCAGGCTCGTCGGTGGCTAAGTACAATTTTGTGGATGTCTCATTTCATATTAAACCATTTTTCGTCAACGTGAATGGTATTGTACATATGATCAAACCAGTATTTTCCACCTAGAAAAAAATATTAGAAATGAATAATTTCAATCAATAGCACTGTACGTATTCGTTCTTACCGGCCTCGGTTTTCACCTTACCAAGCGCAAACTCCAAGCGATGTTGTTTATGCGCCGCGGTTAGCGCAGGTTTGACGCGCGAGACTGCACGTCGCACTAGCCCTCGTTTTAAATACCGGTAGCTAGAAGTAAGTGGAATCTTGGTAACATCAGCAAGGGACCGGAATGTTCGACGTTGTGCATGAGGTACCGCGCTTACTGCGGCCGAAATTGCAGCAGGTGAACGCTTAAGAGGAGGTGGTCGAGGACTTCGCTTCATGCGCAGGAGCGCAGAGGTACCTTGCATCCTCCAAACTTTAGAAGCCAGCTGCCTGGCTATTCCGAAGGCTGCAGCGGCTTTTGTATAGGCCCCCTTTGGTAGTTTGTCGTCTTTTAGGAGCTTTGTCAACCAAATGACAATATTTAGACGGTCATTGACACTAAGTTGCTTGTGTTTGAGTCGGAGGGTTGGAGGGGTAGTCATCGGAGAACTGCTCGTGCTGTTCGGCGTGATAGCCTTAGAATGAGGCCTATATTTTCAGTCGAAATCGCTTTTTACACAAGCGATCAGACGGCAGCACATCATGCTTATCTGCACCGCTGACACGTACTATGTAGCTGCCAGCCACAAATTAGAAAATAGCAAATCTCTATTCTTAGCCTAATAATAGCCAATGATATCATGTATTTTTCTGCGGTAGCTCGTTGCGTTAGATTTGAGATGGAACAGAGTGGTAAACGTTTTGCCGTTTTTCACGGCAGTCGTAGGCTACACATAATATGTGTAGCCTGCGACTTGGTCGTGAAAAACTTGTACTTCGATGTACAGTATTTTTGCCTCAATAAAAAACACTTGATATATTTGCAATTTAAAAGATAAATGCGAGATTACTGCGAACTAAAACCTGTGAACAGAGATTTGACGCAAGATCAGCCACATAACATATTGAAGGCTATAAACTTCTCGGTGCTCTTTATTGAGGAGTTTTCTGTAACTAATTTGGTGTCAGCAACCAGCAGATAGTTTATAATGGGCGTCCCTGAAACCTCAATAACGCAATTACACATTTGCACAAGAACAGGAAATTGGTTATTAGTGCAGTGCGACTCATTGCATCAAGAAACCCATCGGAAAGTCTAGGTATCAAAGCACTTGTAGTGTTCCTGTCCACTCATCATTGCGTCAATAGTACTTCATATTCGACTCTCCTCAAAATGCACCATGTTGCACTGCTCGCTTTTTAGCAGCGCCATCGCTGTCGCCATCGTCGCCGCCGCAAACGCAAACCTCGCTCAGTTTTTCTGCTGAGACTCGATGCAGAAGCCTGTCGCCGCCGCGATCGCCGCGTGATATAAGCGGCACTGGTCTCTCCGTCGATGTTTCCCTTTGTCAAGCTTTACGAATCACGCAATGACCCGTCTTTAATAACGCTGACAGGGTTCGACCATACATCGTTTGATTACTTACTCAGGTAATACGCTCCTCTCTAAGAAGTACTCATCATATTCAACTGATGGCTGCGTTCGCCAAACTCAACACAATTCTCGTCTAGGTGGGAGGCCACGTAGCATGACGACCAGGGATGCCGAAAAATAAATTGGTGCTGCAATTATTGCAATAAAAAAGCACCAATTATTTATTGGAGGCTTTCTGAAGAGGAATTCCAATTATTTATTTTCGCTTCGTTGTAGCACCAATAATCTATTGGGCGGTGCTCCAATCAGCCATACATTCTTTAGTACTTGTGCCCTCGCTGTGTGCCAATAATGCTGCACCAATAATCTATTTACTGAGTTGAGGAAGCTCAATAATCTACTTCGGTCTTGCCAGTTCTCTTACCCAATTATTTATTTTCTGCTTTGATTAGCAATAGATAAAATGCAATATTCGGCATCCCTGATGACGACTCAGATGAGGCTTGCGTTAGCTTTGGCATGCCCGCAGTCGCGGATCAGAATACCTTTTTATGTATGCCGTTTGGTATCACGGACACTGTTTGCTCTATTTTCCTACGATTCAGCAGGAGAATACTACTAAAGGTACTTGCAGTGGATGAATACGCCGCGGTGCGCCTACCGTCGAGTGACGAGATTACAAGTTTCCAAAGTATAATTTTCAGCAAAATATTCTGCTCTACCCGATGTTATTGCAGTAGCGGATGGGCTTAAGCTGCATCTTCAGCAAGCAACCGACCCCATGATACACAAGGCATTTTATAAGACTGGCAAACGCTCAAGATGGCGGTCTTCTTCCCAGCGCAATCTCTGCTCGTCGGCGCGTTGTCGCTCCTGCTTGAGTGAGAGACGCATCACTACTAAAATCTGAGCGTCATCATCGTCGTCGACATAGCCAGCCTGGCCACGTCTGTGGACAATTAAGCGTGGGTTTTTTTGGTATCCAGGATTCAATATAGTTGTATATTGACCTGGCGGGGGGGGGGCATGGACCATCTACGCGATCGTTTTCTAGATTAGTCTGGGTTTGTGTAGATGTGCTAGCGATAAAGTCAACTTCAGCCTCACCGGTATCTTTAGCGCCGCCCAGGTCAGCGCAGAGAGTCATTTCCATGCGTACGCGCTTTGCATGTAGTACATTAGCCGGTATATTCGGGTCCCCTGTCGGAATACATTTACGGTGAAGCTTGGCAAACTTACGTTTTAGACTGTCAGTGGTTCTATCATCACCTAGATACGCGGTATTGTGAAGAGATGCAACATATTCCCACTCATCTCGCGAACTCGGTAAGTGTGTTTCCAGGAGATCGAGTTGACTACTTGTTTCAACGTCCGAAAATCCAGCTCCTCGTTGCCTTACTTGTATAAGCGGTGTTTGCTGATGACCGTTGATTTGCTGGGTCGATATGGGATGCGGGGTCTCGATAAGCCGTTATATCTTCACTTGATGGTGTGCTGAGCTGTGATGGTGACTGTAGATTGTGGAATGGAGTTGTAGGCTTTGAAAGGAAAAGTACTACATACCTACCTCACGATCTGATCCAGCATGGACCAATTGCCCTTTAGGCTTCGCACGTTACTGAGCCTCGGACAACTGGGACGAGTCGCCCTAAAAAACGTGCATTAGGTCCTTTTGGATTACTAAACCGTTGTACAAAATGAGGTTTGAGGTTTCAGGGGCGACCCAATGAGGGACCGTGTTTGGGTCAACATTTTCATAAGGAACTTTGTTTCTTGCCGTTTGAAATCTACATCGAAGTTAACGGAGCTGAACATCAAAGTAAATGCTGGTTATTTATTGTAAAAAAACAATTGAAGTAATTTAAGCGACAATTTCTTTCGTTTTACACATATATAAATATATTCTGTCGGCCTAATATAATGACTAAATATAGAATAGTACCGCATAGCACTTAAACCTCAAATCTTCAACAGACGACTGCCGTAATGATCCTTTCGAAGCTTGACTTGCTGTCCTTGGCGCAATTCGCTTGCATGACAGCTTTTTTAGACCGTAAAAAATGGGCGGCCGTTCTGAAAGACTAGGCTTTCAGCGCGAACAAGTCCATCAAGAAACGAAAAAGTGAGGGATAAAAACAAACCTGGTTGTGTACTGACGAAAAATGCGAATGTATCGTGACTTTGTCCTTTTGGCCCAAGCCCAAGACAGATAAAGCCACATTATTGTTAGGCCCTGACTTCTCCGTCGCGGTCTGGGGTCTGGGAAAGCAATTCCCCGACATGCTTTCTCAATTGCTGGGAATAGGAATTATGTTGTGTGTTTGTATACCCTTTTAAAATTGGTTTGTATCAAATATCCAACATGTAGTCTACACCAGACAGCTAGGAAGCTGCCGGTGGCGACAAGATGCAGGCGTCGCCCGCCTTCTTGATGGACCTATTTCTACCCCGCCAATCTGAGCCAGTGCCCGCTGTCGCTTCAGTGCCCGCCGCCTCGTCAGTGCGTGCCCTCTCTCCAGTGCTGCCAAATACAGTGCTACAGCACGGATCTGGTCCCGAATGCAGTAGAGGTTTCCTCGCTTTCCGTACCTAAGATCCGGTAACTGGTTGCAAGTCAAAGACAAAGCGTGGGCGTCCTTCGAAGGGGGAGATGAGTTATGGACGGAGGCGACAACGAAAACTCGGTTTACTGTCAGTTAAGACATGATACTGAGTACACCGCTCACGCTAATTAGTCGTCGTTCGCAATTAGTCGTGGATTTGCACTTTAGTGACATCACAAACTCGAGATATTCGACAAATATGATCAAATCTAAAGAAAAAGACCGGTTTTCAGCAGGTCTTATCGGGCTCTTTGTTCCAGTATGCTCGGCTTAGCAATTAGACCGGTAGGTTTTACAAAACGGACAGCTGAAATACCAGTATATTGGACTTCGATCTGTACACCACAATTAGTCAGGGTATGACTAATTAGCGTGAACGGTGTAAATACTACGGATACAGCTTTACAATAACGCTGTATGGCTTTGCTCTACTTTATTAGATATGTTACCGCAAAGGACGAGTTCAAGCGTACCAGAAATCACGTTCAGATTGGTGCCGCTTGAGTGCTCGTAGTCACCCTGCTGAATAAAGCGGAAGACCGAACGTACACCGTGACACAATGCAAGGATAATGTGAATATGGAACAAATATTGTTCTCTGGTTATTATATTGCTAATACTTGTTGTATTGGACGTGTAGATAAAATGGTTGAAGAAGAAATGGTGTTTATATCGGGAGGACCAGCATGCTACCGGATATGTCCCAAAGTCTGCGCCTCCACCTTGTTTGGAGCTCATGATGGAGCACTGGGCTCCAAAGCCTGGCATGCAGAGCACATCTTCGTGTGACGGCACTACGGTTCGCGAGGATGTTGACACTGACAATGTCTCGTCTAACGACGACACCGCCGCTTCGAGCCACAACATACGCAAGCAAACTAACGGTGAATGTGTCGAAGAAGGCGAGCGCCTTTTTAATACTTTTTATTTCTCCAAAAGCAAAAATACTCCTACTAATTATTGTTTTACAGGATTGCGTGAATTGGCCGATGGGGTCAACGTGATGGGTGAAGCCATGAAGTCCAACTCTTCAACGGCTAGTGACTCCGCGTTTGTTCCAAGATGTTGTAGCATCGCTCTCAAGCCAAGAAAACGCTCTAGACCTGCAAACCGCTGCTATCAATGAGTTGATGTAGACTCTCAGAAACAAAAACTAGCTTTGTATTGCCTTCCCATAAAACAAACGTGCTAACTCGTCGCGTTTAGCCCTACTAAAAGCACGCAAGTCGGTATCCGGCTCCGTTTCCAACACACTATCAGTATCTTCCTGCTCGTTTCGACTTATAGTGTGATCATTAAGGTCAATCAAAATAGTGTGCAGGATCATTGCAGACAAAATACACCTTGTGCAATTCATGATAGCCTTTTGTGCTAGTTGTCTTCATATCAGTCGAAGTCTTTGCTTTAATATTCCAAACGCACACTCAATAGCCATCCGTGTCGCACTATGATTGCAATTGTAGCGTTCCTGAATACGTGACAGTTTACCGTCTTCTTCCCGTGGTATGTATGGTTGTTAGGAGCTCGCAACTCAGCGTAAATCCGGCATATCCAAGGAAATGACAGCCACGAGGATTTGTATTTTGAGCTGAAGTGACAATTGTAGATAATTGCCAGGTCGTTTTGTCACTGCGTCACCCCGGCCGCATATCATAATCCATAAATCGCCGTCGAAGATCACAGATAGATTGCATGCTAATCGCAGGGTAGTAGCCCTTACAATACCATCCTTCATGCTCAGCAGATCGAGATATTTCAAAACGTGATCTATCTACTGCTTCACAAACGTACGGAAATCCTCTAACATCAGCGAATCCTTCCAAAATTTTCCTATATCCGTAAGAGTCGGGTTCCGGGATATATTTTGAGGAGGCATTTAGGCCATGAAGGAGATAGAGTTAGGAAACATGAAATACACCGTTTGAAAGAAGAAGGAAAACGTAGTCTGCACATGCATGTCCTAAGCGGACCGACTGTCTTACACGGCATTTGGACAACTTGAAAAGACGACGGTTCAAGTTCCGGGACACGGAGCTTAATGACGCCTTTTCGTGTGCAACGCTTCAGAAAACGTGGGTCTTCCACACGCATCAGCTTGCGTTCGTCTGTTTCTCTGCGCTTCAACTCCGCTTGCTCACGCTTTTCAGCCAACACTTTTCCCCGTTTCATTCGCTGTTGAGCAGCTTCTTCTTTCGCCGCCTTAACCAAGACGGCTCGGCGTTCTCTCTCAATCTGGCGGCGGTTTTTATCCTCTTGTTTCAGCCGCGCCATCTCCTCTTGCTTTGCAACCATTGTCGAGATATCGTCAGCTGTCATCAGGGTGCCGCCAGAAACAAACTTTTCAGGCTCTGATTTCTCCTTTCGCTTTCGAGTTTGTGCTTTGAGTTCATCTATCCCCCACTGGTTTATAGAGAGCACTCGAGTCTCATCAGGATCCAAACCGCTTCGCTCCTACCACCTCCTTGTCTATGGTGTAACGAAGGTGTTTGCTGAGAGCAGTACTTTGTTTTCTCGCTGACTTGGTTTGTCGCCAATGATGCCGTCTATCATTTTGTCACGACTGAGGGGATAAAGACCTGTCCGCTCGAAGCCGTCAACAATGTATGCCCTGGTAAAACACCTAGTCAAGGCCTTCGAAGCGACAGCCACCATGTCACTTCGTTCGACTATGCGCCGCTCTTTTACTCGAAAAGGTCCCTTTTCGTCCTCAACAATGCGCTTGAAATGATGGAACACCGATACATCCAGAGGTTGGAAAAAATACGAAGTGTGAGCGGGTAGAGCGTAGAGAAGAATACTATGTTTCCGAGCGTATTGAAGTGTTCTGCTCGAAAAATGACATTTGTATCCATCTGCCACCACTAGTACGGGTCTCTCTGGCGATATGATCTGCACGAACCACTCGAAGTACTGGATAAACAGCTTGGTCGTGAGAAATGCTGATTCACTTGCGGCAAATATCGATCCGTCTAAACCTCCTGCTGTATCATGTACTCTGATTTGTTTGCCAGGCAAAATGAAAAATGGAGGCTCAAATCCGCCATCAGCGTTAACGCCCACTATAGTCGACACGTTCGTGCGATCATTAGACTCTTGAATATTTGCACGCATGTTCTAATTAGCTAGCACTTTCTTCGTACTGCTGCGCGTTTGGGGACACATGCCGGTTTCGTCAAGATTCCAAATGCGTGAAGTTGGGATATCTGCAACAGAAGATAGCACTTCTTTGAAATTGTTGTAATGCCTATCCACGTTTTCAACAGTAGACGTTTTAGCCCGACAAACCTCCAACGACTGCGCACGTCTCGAACTGAAATCAACACTGTGCTTGACAACAAATCGCTGGATGTAGCTCTTAGACAGAAACATTTCGGGAATTTCTCGACTGTACGAGCTGTTTTCGATGACATTGCGTATGAACAATCCAAGCTCGTCTTTTGTAAAGCATAACACGTGTCTCATACGCATAGTCACCGCTTTCACAACGCCGCTAACCTCACCAGGAGACAAAATTGGCTCTGGACCATTCCGAGAGGTCAGCTTTACTTGACCCGATGTACGGCGATGGATTTTGCTTTTGCTGACACCAAACCTCGTAGAGGCTGATCGTAGCAATAGCTGCTTCTCATTGACAGCGTCTACAGCTTGCCTGAGCCTCTCCATTTCATCAGGCAAGTCATTTTCCTCTTCCAACGCGCACGACTTTGAGGTCTGGTCACACTTTGGCTTGGATCTTTGCAGTGAATGGCCGACTGCCAGCAAGTCGCACACTGATCGATAGCTCTTTTAACTGGTTAAAATGTCGTGTTAATGTTTCAGGAGAAAGCTAGCTGAAGCGGGCAGCAAATCTTGTTGGATATCACCTGTCCCGGAACTTGGTGTCCCGGAACTTGGATCTTACGGATACCCAGCGCTTGTAGACAGCATTTGGATAAAATCCTCAGCCCGCATACAAATAACACGAAGCAACTTGTTTATCGTAGC